GGCACCGTGTGTGTGTCAACCCCTGTTTCTAAGGGTTCCTTTTTCCGCAAATGCCCAACGAAGACGGTGGCTTGAGATTGTGAAGCGAGAAAGGACGCTTTCTCGTGTACCTGCTCAATGAACTTTTGCACACGCCGTGACTCCACTTTTCTCGCTTTGATTCATGGTTTTTCCTCGCGATACCTTCCCCAAAACCCTTATCTCTGCGCTGAGTTCACCGCGACCGAGTGCGTCAAACCTTGTTCAACAATACAATTGCGCCGACTTTTTCACCTTGCGTTTCCCTCACCTTCCTTCTCACCGTGGGAATTGAGTTAACAGCAAACCAATGTCAGAGTGTGTCACACTCCGTTTCTAGGAGTTTCGTTTTGACTCAGGGGGACCAGGCATCTTGCTGCTGACCTGGTCTAACAAAGCGAGGCAGCAAGATGGGAGGCATCGCAGGAGACGTCCTGATGTGTACCTGCGCTTTGAACTGTTGACCCCCTCCGCTTTTCTTTGTTTCCATGGTTTTTGCACGATAGGCCCCAAAACCTCCTTTTCCACCGCTGACTTGCAGTCGCACTGCTTGCCAGATCGTTTTTGAGCGCACCTGTAAACAATGTTCAACCATACACCTCCGCGGACTCAGCCACCTTTCGTTTCCCTCATCCACTTTTGCCGTGGATTATGATTAGCTGCAAACCCTGTGACTAAGTGTGTATCGCTGTGTCCTCCCACTGGGTACACAGTGTGAACCTCTCGCAAGAGAGGCGCCGAAGCCACTCCGGACTACCGTTTCTCTGACTCGAAGTGCCGCCATCGTGGATTCTGGTTTGAATTTAGTTTCACCCGTGAATCAACAGCTTTGGACGCCGGGCATACGGGCTGGACGCCGCCGGGCTTATGGAATTTCCACGCTGCATGTCCACTTGTCATGTTTCACGTTACACCGCTTAGTTTGAATTTACATGTTCCAGCAGAGGTCGGCACGCTTCGATTTTTCCGAGTTCCATGGCCACACATTTTCGATCTTTTTTTCGCATGAGGCTCGTTTCCCTGCCCCTCGGCCTTTTGGTTCTTTCTCTCCTGCCTGTTCGTTTCTCTTTCTAGGTCTGCCTTTTCGCTGAAGGCTTTTTAGGTTTGTAATGAGGCCTGTTTCTTTCAGTCAAGGGCTAAGTATTCAAGTGCTAAGTCGTCACTTTTTTCGCTACTTCTATTTTTCTTTCTTGCCCTTTTCGTTTTGCTCTTTCTGTCTTTCTTTTTTTCTTTCTAAGGCTTCTTAGGTGCCTACTTAGGTTCTGACCTTTGCCGCTCGTGCGGCAGACCTGCATGTCACTACGCCTACCTTTCCCTCCTGCCCTCTTCGTTTTCCGTTTTTTCCTTTTCCTTTCTTTTTCTAAGGCTTGTTATAGGTGACTATTGCAAAAGGGCACCCTGCAGCGGAGCGCCGCAGAGCGGCCTTTTATGTGTGTCACACACTCCGTTTCTAGGAGTTTCGTTTTGACGCAGGGGGACCAGGCATCTTGCTGCTGACCTGGTCAAACAAATCTAGGCAGCAAGATGGGAGGCATCAGAAGGCGTCCTTATGTGTACCTGCGCTTTGAACTGTTGACCCCCTCCGCTTTTCTTTGTTTCCATGGTTTTTGCACGATAGACCCCAAAACCTCCTTTTCCACCTGCAAACAATGTTCAACCATACGCCTCTGCGGACTCAGCCACCTTTCGTTTCCCTCATCCATTTTTGCCGTGGATTATGATTAGCTGCAAACCCTGTGGCTAAGTGTGTGAAATAAGGCAAGCACCACAATGATACTCGCCCCAACTTTCATCAGCACTCTTCTTGGCAACGCATAACAAGGGAATGTTGCAAATAACAGAGTTTGCACGAAGTTTGCCATGCTAGTGCAAAATGTGCTTGAACACTAGAGCGCTGAAAAGGAGTGTTTACACACAATTTGTTGGTTGCAACTGGAATGTGGGTGCGTTTGTTTTTCTGTGGGCGTGTATTGCGTTGACTGTTTTGTGGGGCAAGGCAGCGCCAATATCTGACAGATCCTCTTTATTCAGAGTTGCGCCGTATCATCCCAAGGCTTGGGACTGTGACTCCTACGGTTTGTAGTCTACGAAAAAGGAGACTTCTCAATTCTGTACATGCTGCGATTGGCACAGGAACCTTTCCTACTTCTTGTCCCAGCTGACTGTCAGTCGGGTCAGACCCATTTTGACCCTCGGTTTGGCTGATCCCCTAGCATTCAGTGCCTTTAGTTCTTATTTTGTGCTAGCAAAAAGGCCTTTGACATGGATTAAAACAAATTCCGTCAGGCTGGGTGGCGCAGTCAGGATTGCAGTTCGTTTTGTGGATGGGGTCGCAGGCTAGGTGTTTGACAAATTTGATGACTGGCCAGTTGTTTTTTTCAATGGATAGCCAGTCGAATCATCAGATCTGAAAGCAGTCTTAAAGAGCTAGGATAACCTTATGTTCTCTCATGCTTTCCTGCTTGGCTCCAGGTTCCAGATGCTGATGCAACGATAGAGACAGTGGAGGCTCACAAGAGGCGTGTGGAGTTTTTCGAACGATGCCAGCGAGAAGCTTAACTTGAAATGGACTCTCTGAGACCAAATTTAATTGGATGTATTCCTTAACACTCAGATCTTGTTTCCACTCCAAGGTGCAGCATCCTGATTGTCAAAGAAGGTGAAGAAGCCGCTGGCAAAGAATTTAGAGTCATTCAGGTAGACTACAAGGTTTTTGTTTGGAATGATACACATTAATTATTCCAGCAGAAGAATGCATTTTTATTTAAAAAAGATAACATCCAGGCAAATGACCTTATAGATCCTTACGGTGGTTGAGCCCAAAGATTCAAAGGTGCAAAGATGTGCTGCATGGCATGCAGCCATATGCCGCCACTCTCAAGGTGCCGCAGCTGTGGCAGGTGCTTGGCGAAATGCCTCCTGTCAACCGGTCACTTGTGGCCCTTCGGTGGGGACGCCTTGTGGGCCTCGAGGAAATCCCAGCTTGAAGTGCTCAACAATACTGGGATTTATCAACATCGGCTTGAGGTCTGAGTTCGACTCCGACTATGAGATCATGGTTCTGCCCTTGAATTGTTTGAGAGAATGAGAGAGAAGTGGCCATGCAAAGCCATTCGCATGTGTGGAAATAAGGTTAGCACAAGCGGAAAAGGCACCTGGGGGGACAAATGACGTAAAGGACTTGGGGAGTGTCGGACACAGAAAAGGGAAGCTAGCAGCAATATTTAGCAACATGTAGCAACAGCAAGGTGTCATTAAATGAAGTGGACGAGCCAGGCGCTCCTGCCGGCCATGGAACTTCAAAGAATTTAAAGGACCAGTGGCCAGTGGTTGATGCAGAATCACAACCTCAAGATTCAATATTGTTTGGGTTATTGATGGTTAATGATTTCGGAGGTGTTCGAAGTTGTTGAGAGCGCTTGAAGGACGGAAATGCCTGGGAAGGGTTTTGCACCAAGAGTGCAGTGCAGCAGGTTTGGTCAATATCACAAGCATATTGTGTTTCGAGTCTTGTCTTGTTTCCTTTTCCATAAGGCCAAATGCTCACCAGCCCCAACCTGTACTGGCTGTTGGGAGCTAAAGCCGGCTGGCTCGGACCAATGGCTAGCCATTTGTACTTTATGGGCAAAGATTTAGGATCTTTAACCAGAGTCTTTCAAGTTGAAGTCCTTTTGTTTCTTGGACTTCATTGTTAGACTTGCCAAACCCTTTGGGATTTACGTTGGACAGTGAGTGGCGCCAAACATCGGATGCCGGAATATGCAGCGTCTAATAGCTGTGTTCCAATCTTCTGAACTGCGGATCAGTGATGCATCATCAGCTCAGAAAACATCCCACAAAGCTCCAGGTGTATAGATATGTTTAACCATTCTAATTACTGATGTACAGTGAGTGTGGCTCAGTATGAAGTGTTGGCTGATGATGCGTTGTCCACCGTTTCACGTGACCTGTCTCATGAACAATCATGGTTGCATTGCTTTTGAAGGCAGAAACGATGGAAATAGATACACGGCACCGATTTTCATGGGATATGGCATTCGGCTCTTTGCCACCGTAGTTCGTCCTCTTTTCAAGGTCCGCAAGTCGCAAACAATGCGTTCCGATGGAGACAGTATTTGTGAAAGTTGTGTATTGTGCCTTGCAGGGAACACAAGAATCCTGTATATATATAAGGAACAATACCGTCTGAACCCTCAATCCTAGAATCCTAGGATGGAAAACCAACCCAAAATTTCAAGCAACTCCCAAAAATAACGAGTGAATCAGGGGGAGGGCAATCCCAAGTGACACCGGAACGAACAGCTTCTCTTAACAGAAGCCAAATCTCACACCCTGAACTGAATCCAACATGCTGAGAGGAAATCTAGAAGACCACGATGCCTTCCGCATTTGTCATGGGAACCGCGAACCAAACCCAGAACGCCAAACCCCACATCAAATCACTACAACCAATGAAATGCAGACTTGAACCAAAACCGCACTTCACAGACGCAATCATAGACCTTAGATAACCTTAGAACTTCAAGGGTCAAGCCCTAGCTCAACTTTTGGTCCAGATGTTCCTTTATTAAGGCCAAGACCACAATAGCATTCCGCAATTAAGATTCTGTGTCAACCGTTCCACGCGCAGCTCAAAGAAATCCAGGCCAAAGTAGCACGCATTGCTGATGTGCAAGCACGGTTTTGACCGTGACTTTACTGACGTGGCTTTGCAGACACGACACTTATGGAAGTGTGCGACGTCGAAAAAGCACGAAGGAACAGCGGACATGCAGATGAGTCAGATGAGTTCATAGGTTGGTAGAATTGATTTCCTTTGATACAATAGTGAAGAATACCGCCTATTTTCTTGTCGTGGTCGAATGTTAACAGATCAAGAGTTCTAACAAGAATGGACCTTTGCAATGACAGCTATTTCGATGTTATTTTTCCTTTATCGTGCTTGCTATACGTGACGGTGACGCATTTTGACATTTGCGCAGCTTTCCTACATCCCTGTCATTGGCCCGTTCCTGTACTTTGTGCACTCTTGCTGGATGGCCTCCATCTATTGCTTCGAGTGCCCAAATCACTTGCAAATCCGGTGACCCGCATCCATCCTCCCTTCGAGCCTCCTTTCAGGCCGTCAGAGAAAGCTCGACAGAGAGAAGCACGTACTACGGAGATCTACGGAGTAGGATTTCCATATAACAAATGGAGCCAATTGTGAGCACAGAGGTGCCATCTACTTATGCCCCTGTTCTTTAAACAGTTGTGCCTGCTACTTTTCCCAACTTCAATGGAGTTTAGAGAATATGAGAGAATGATAAATAACACATTGGGGATCATTGAGGAGTAGTTTAGCTCTGGAATGTAGTTCGATCAACATAGATTTGATGCATCCAAAAGAATCTCAGAGCCGAGTTTGTCACTTCGGTATTTTAGTCAAGGCCAGGCCTTTCGCTTTTTGCCTTTCGCTTTTTGCCTTTCGCCGTGTTTGAGTATCCTTTGACTTGTAAACAGGACATTACTGTACAATACTCCTACGTTTTATAAATACAGATAGTGTTGCACGTTGTTGCAAATACTTTTGAGTGCTTTTCTATGCTTTTCTAAAAGCTTGGATCACTTTGCCTTTTGCAGGTACGGCTGGGTGCATCAGCGCTGGTCAGCAAATGCGCGAGTGGATTACTTCGAGGTTCCTTGTGATGTCGACTGGCAACAACTTTGCAGTCTAGAGTCTAGCAGTTGGAATATATGTATCAAGAAGTGATGCAATCCAATACATAAATCACTCAAAAGACCAGATGTTGCTTCTTTAGTTTGTCGATGACTTGTGTCAATTTGTTTGCAGCTCTGACGGCCAGCGCCACTGGCTCTACTTCTCGGGCTTCGGATTTCCAGTCTCTTTTGTTAGCTATTTCTGCCACAGCCCTGGACTGGAGTGCCTTTTGAGGCTAAAGGATGCGACCATCAGTTCACCATTCACGACAAACTGTTTCCTTCAAATCACATTCAACTCTGGTGACGAGGTCCTCGATTTATCGATGCCGGTGTTTTTGCGTTGTTTTTCCCCCTCTTCGTGCTGACGGTGTTGCCGTCGTGTTTGCACCACCTCATCGAGTACAGTACTCCTATAGTCAGTCTGAACCAGGCAACTAGAGCAGAGCCAAAAGCACTTCAGTCATGAACTAAGCTGAAGCGGTCGGGACTTGCTGGCTGAAAGCAACTATATGTGATGTTATAACTATAACTATAATCTAGCAGTTTATAGCTCAACGGCGCAAGAGTCCTCAGCACTGAGTGCATTCGGATGCATTGCAATGAATATTGATGTTGAGCAAACATGTGAGGGCTTTTGGCGTATGAGTGCAGCTCTGCCTGCTTGATCCTGCATGGCACATGAGCGACACAATGCTTTTTTGAAAGTTAAATTATTGAATGGCTAAGCCATGCTGAGGGCATCAACTCAACTTCGCTGAATTCAGTGTTGTGAGGGAATGCCCAAAGCAGCTGCAGAGACTGCCGCTCTTCTTTATCGTTCAGGAGAAGTACATGCACACAACCTGAACACGAATGCTTATGTAATTGTTTCCAGTGGCAGCCACTCGATTTGCAGGCTTGTTCAAGAATTTAACCAATGACAAGGAAAGTGAAACAAGCTGCTGCTGCCAGGGTGTGTCCTGCTTTCTGGTTCGTCTTTTTGAGGGCCGCTCCAGAGGCCTTGGTTTGATCAAAAAAGAAGATGCTCAGAGTTGTTTGTTGGCATTTCTTGTGCAGGCGCAAAAGTCAAATAAAGGTGTGCTGAAGCGTGTAGGGTGTCAACCTACCAGCTCCAGCCCTAAGGGCTGACAAATTTGGCCTTTTGACCTAAGCTACAAAGCCGCATTGGCCGCATTGGGCATCGAGATGCGAAAGATGACAAAGATCGACTAAGCGTCTCACGATTTGGTGCGGCAGGAGTTGCCTTTGATCATTCCCGTGTGCTAGCACACCTTGTGCATGTACAGAAGGAACTTTAGCACACCGAGTTGGCCACCGCTGTTTGAACAATGTTTGAGTTGCTTCGCTGCTCACGTGGCTGGCCTTGGTGAGGCCAAAAACAAGGGTTCAGCGTCCGCGCTACCATTTAGCACATAAGATGTTGCCTTTTGGTCGCTGAGCGCAGAACAACAACTAAAGGAGAATCTAATCCAAGTGGGATGTGAACAGGTCAAAGCTGTGTCATGATTGAATCATGATTGCGTTCTGGCTTCTCTCCAGCGATGACAGATGTGGTGATCATATGCTAGTCAAGCAACCAACTATCAAAGCGTCAGTTGATGTTTGCTGTTTGCCAGGGCATGTCCTCCTTATCTACGGAACTCAATCATGACTTACACTTTGGGTGGCAATTGTATGGAAACAAATTGGAGATGACATGAGATGACTCATGTGTTTGCAATGTCACACGGCAAGCAAGAATGCTTTTTGAGGTGTACTTTCTTGGCCTGAATTCCTCCTTTAAACGAACAAGACAACTTTCTGCACTAGTTCAAGTGGAATGGATTGGGATGGGGCTCGAAGCGGGTCTTGCCTTCAAGGCTTTGACTAACAGTTGTCATTCCAGGAATCTCCATTTCTGGTCTATTTTAGAAAGGTTACCTGCAGATCCAACTGCCATTGAGAAGAGTCAATCGAATATCATATGTTGGCGGTTGCACTGGGAGAGCCTTGCACGCCTTGGTACCAGGCTGTTGTCCTTACAACCTCGAGAGCAGTGAATTGGTGCGCAGACAGTCTTTCAACAACCAAGAATGACAAGCACTGCTGGGCTGTGAGCTTGCTGATGCGTCCTTGCTGCAAGGTTCGTGGTCTACAAGCAGCTTCAGAATGCAAACAGGGAATTTCAAGGCACTTGGTTTGACTGCTTTGAGTCTTCATCCTGAGTGGACTGCGCTGCTGCATTGCAAGGAAAAGACGTTCTAGACTTCAATATGGTTTGGATGCCCTGCGTTGGAATTCTGTGCTCCCACTTGCTTTCGCAGCGGCCTTGGTTTCAGCAGACATGCACCTCTTGTGCTCCACGCAAACCCTGGTGAGCGGTTCGATACAAGCTTGCTCAGTTTCATATTTATGCGCACGGAGAAGACGCGCCGGGATCTCACTTGCAGTTCTTGCAAATTGGAAACCATGCATGTTTTATCATTTTTTATCATTTAAATTCATCATAAACTGAAGCGTCACAGTACCAAATCTCCAGAGTGAGCGCATTCATACTGGGTCCTGCCATTCGAGCCCAGATTGACTTTTAAATCACAAAGAAAAGATCAAGTGTAGAATTCATAGAGGCCAGCCAAAAGAACAAGGAAAGAGAGAGGGAAAGGAAAAGGCCTAGGAAAGCCAATACTGTACCGCTTGAAAGAATATTGCAACATAGACAGGTCTACACACCGCAAGCCTTACAAGTCACCAATTTCAGGTCCGGTTCAATTCAATTCCGGACTCCGGTAGAGCCTGATTGTTCGATACAGTTGTTCTATACACGGGTGTTCTATACAGCTCGTTTGCTTCCCTGTGGTCCAATCTCAAGTTGCTTTAGCCAGTTTCAGCTGGGCACATCAATACATTGATACATCAACTCATCATTGCTCTCTCTCTCTCTCTCTTTTTGCTTGTGTGGCCGTCGAGGAACTCAAAGTAGGGAGTGGCGACCGGTCACGAACATGTTCACCTCTTGATGCTGCATTGTTTTAACTTTGTCAGTGAATGAAGTGACCCATGGGTCGTGTCTCTAAGGTGGAGTTGTGATACTCCAGTGGCACCTGTGGGTGTTTTGTCCCACCCAACCCGCCCTGTGCATGGGAGGGGGGTGTCACGCGTGGGCGATCGGGGGTCAGGCCTTCCTAGAGCCCAATGCGGCATCATGAATGTTAAGGCGGGTCGCCCGACAAAGTTTTAATTTACCACCCCGCTTAGAAGCTTCAGGTGTCACCATGGGAAAGGGTCTCGGATGTGACGCAGATTTCGGACTCGGATGTTACGCGGACCTGTTCGCTCACTTGTGCCGCGCCCGTGTGCCCGTGTGTTCCGGTGCCCGTATGCGCCCGTGAGTATGATGAGTAGTAGTCGTCGTCGTCGTCGTAGTCGTCGTCGTCGTAGTGGTAGTGGTGGTAGTGGTGGTAGTAGTGGTAGTAGTGGTGGTAGTAGTAGTAGAAGTAGTAGTAGTAGTAGTAGTGGTAGTTTAGCCGTAGCAGTAGCAGTAGTGGTAGTAGTAGTAGTACTAGTACTAGCAGCAGCAGCCGTAGTAGTAGCAGTAGTCGTAGTAGTAGCAGTAGTAGTAGTAGTAGTAGTAGCAGTAGTCGTAGTAGTAGCAGTAGTAGTAGTAGCAGTAGTAGTAGCAGTAGTAGCAGTAGTAGCAGTAGTAGTGGCAGTAGTAGTAGCAGTAGTAGACGTAGTAGCAGTAGTAATAGTAGCAGTAGTAGCAGTAGTAGTAGTTAGTAGTTAGTAGTCAGTTGTCAGTAGTTAGTAGTTAGTTAGTTAGTTTCGTTTCGTTTCGTTTAGTTTAGTTAGCTAGTTAGGTAGTAGTTAGTAGTCAGTAGTCAGTAGTCAGTAGTTAGTAGTAGTAGTAGTAGTAGTAGTAGCAGCGGTAGGTTTTTGCCAGCAAGGACCTATCCAGTCCGCCGTTAACGGCCAAGGCCATGGAGAGCTGTGAGGCCATGGAGGCGCCTCCAGATGCTGGACTCTCCAGATGGACCCTCGAGATGCTAGACTTCTGCTGCAATATCTCAGCTGGTTGGAGGCGGATCCGTGGGGACTGTGAACGCGCGCGCAGTGCTCTTTTTATTTCCACTTTACCCACCTCGACAGTTCCCTTTCTCTGTTTACGCAGACGTATCTGTATAAATAGATAGATCCATCCCATGCATTGTTGTAGAATGGTGGCCCAAAAGGCTAGGAAGCGGCCAACGGCCAAGAAGGTCGTGAAGCGCTTCGAAGGATGCGGGAGCTTCTTTACTTTAGCTTTGGTTTTCTGTCAGAGCCATGAGGGAAATGCATAGACAGTGGAAGAAGTGCAAAAAGCGGTGCGTGAGCATGTGAAATGCTGCGTGACAATGCAGACTGACGCTAGGAGAGGCCACGAAGTTCGCGTGAGATTGCGTTCCAGAGAACAAGACGAGAAACTCCTCCAATACCCAACTGGACATAGAACTCCTGGAGTATGAGCAAATCACAAAAAACGGGAGAACCTTCATGCATTCTTAGGATGGTTTTGGGATTCCGACTTCAACACACATCCGATTCGATGGCCTTATTGCTAGTGACTGCTAGTGTCCATTGCTATGGCTGGTTGGGGTATCCTCAACAAGGACTAGTTCAGTCATGGAGCTTAGAAATGCTTGGGGCGGCGTTGGAAGTGTGTGTGTGTGTGTGCCCGTGTGTCCGTATGCTCGTGTGCCTGTATGCCCACGCGCGCCCGTGTGTCCGTGTGCCGTCTGCCCGCGCATGCCCGTACGCCCGTGTGTGCCCATATGCGCGCGCATGCCCGTGTGTGCCCGTATGCCCGTGCGTGCCCGTATGCCCGCGCATGCCCGTGTGCCCGTATGCCCGCGCGTGCCCGTATACCCGTGCGCGCCCGTATGCCTGCGCGCGCCCCTATGTCCGTGTGTGCCTGTGTGCCTGTGTGACGAGTAGAGTAGTAGTAGTAGTAGTAGTAGTAGTAGTAGTAGTAGTAGTAGTAGTAGTATACAGTAGTAGTATACAGTAGTAGTATACAGTAGTAGTATACAGTAGTAGTAGTAGTAGTAGTAGTATAGTAGTAGTAGTAGTAGTAGTAGTATACAGTACTAGTAGTAGTACTAGTAGTACTAGTAGTGGGAGACGCAGTAGTAGGAGACGTAGTAGTAGGAGACGCAGTAGTATAGGAGACGTCGACGTCGTCGTCGTCGTCGTCGTGGTCGTCGTCGTCGTTGTCGTAGTAGTAGTAGTCATAGTAGTAGTATAGTAGTAGTATAGTAGTAGTAGTAGTAGTAGTAGCAGTAGTAGTAGTAGTAGGAGTAGGAGTATAATAGTAGTAGTGGTAGCGGTAGCGGTAGCGGTAGTGGTAGTGGTGGTAGTAGGAGTAGTAGTAGTGGTAGTGGTGGTAGTAGTAGTAGACGCAGTGGTAGATGTAGTAGTGGACGTAGTAGTAGACGTCTACTAGGCGTCGTAGTAGTAGTAGTAGTAGTAGTGGTAGTAGTGGTAGTAGTAGTGGTAGTAGTAGCTAGTCAGTGACTAGTTAGGTAGTTAGGCAGTTAGTTATAGTTATAGATCGTTCGTTGTATACTTAGTTAGTTTGTTACTTAGATAGTTATAGTTAGTTATAGTTAGTTAGTTATAGTTATAGTTATAGTTATAGTTATAGTTAGTTAGTTAGTTAGTTAGTTGTAAGTTGTAGTTAGTTAGTTAGTTAGTTAGTCAGTTAGTACCCTAAGTCACCGAAAGTAGTAAATTGACATTTTCATTAGATTTACGTAAATTGATGAATTTAGGTGGCAAAAGGTGTAAATGGGTTAGTAAATGTAAATTCAATTTAGGTACAACCTAAATTTATGTAAGTTGGTCTTCACTAAGGGTTTTCCTATTTTCTCTCTACTTTTTTTGATTTGCAAATATTCAAAACTGCATCTAAAACACATCCGTTGAAGAAAGTAATTTGTAAAACATATAGCCACAAGTAGAGACACTTGGATAAAAGCACAAGCACACACAGTCAGGTATAAGCGCACAGGAAAGACAAGCGCAGACAAAATGACTTGGGTGAAACAGAAAAGCAGACATACTCAGGTAAACACAGATCCAATTTGGAAGAACATGTGGCCACAAAGTGTTTGGGCTGCTACTTTTTGGGCAGCTGCTTTTCCAGAAAACCTCCTCTAACTTAAGCAAGAAAACCATCCTCTTCAACTTCTGGTGCTTCCTCCTCCTCCTCCTTATCCTCCTGCAACCCTTCTGCCCAGCCATGAGCTGGCTGCGCGGTCTCTCCACTTGCAGCAGGCCTTTTCAAAGAGTTGGCCTTTGCCTTTGACTTTGGTTTGGCCTTTCCTTTTGCTTTTGCTTTGGGACTCTTTCCTTTAGGGCTCTTTGCTTTGGCAGCAGGTT